AGCAGGAACCCAAACAACTCCAAAAAAACCCAGAGTTTGTTTTTGGGCAGCTGCAAGGGTGAAAATCCAAAACACGTTGTTCAGGTTTTGCCCCTGAAAATGATGCCTATCTATTTTTAAATCCGTGGTGATGGTTACATTTCCTGTGATTGGCATCACACTGCATGAATGTTTTTGGTGAAACCAGATTCATAATTTCACGATTTATTTTTACTGAGCAACTCCAGACATGAAGCCCAATAGCCACTGCTGCTGGTAAAACAGCATTTGCTGTTGGTACAAAACCCAGGTGACAAACAGCATCAAATCCTGTCCTCAGATGACCACTGAAGCCAGTGAATTAAATTTTGCTCCCAGCTGCACAATGCAACCCCAGCCAAAGTAACGACAGTGCACTGACACAGTTGGCACATCTCAGGAGAGACTCAGGCCTGGAAAGAAAAGGTCCCTTCTTCTTTGCTATCACAAATAGCTGCTTTGGACCTTTGGGACATCACAGCATATTGGGATTCACTTTGCTAACTTCTCTGGAGTTGCTCCAGATCTACACTGTGAGCTCTTTCTCCTGGAATGCTCTGCTGAGTCTCACCAGCCAGCTCCTTGCTTGAAAGTCATGGGCTGGTCTGCTCTGAGATCACAGAAAGAGCATTACCGTGGCATGTTGTTGCGTGGCTGTAAGGTGGACTCAGAGAGCTCTTCTCTTCCTCCTGGACCTCTTTGATGAGTGAGAGAGAGGAACCACGGATATGAATGCAGTTTTACTCAACCCCGCATCCAATACGCCAGTGTTGAATTAAGGAAACACATGAATTTCAAAACCATCCTTTCCTCCTCACCTGCTCCCTCTGTGTTTCAAACAGAAGGGTGAAAAATAGGAAGATATTATTCACAGTAAGAGAGCTCAAAGAAAAGAGAGAACATAGACGCTTCATCTGTGTGTAAGGTAATGGAATTCTACCTTAAAAAGCCACTCTCTCGGAGACATTTATCTACAAACGGCCATGTGGCTACTTAGCTTTGGATCAGACCTCAGAATCTTGTCAGGAGTTAGGAGTATACATTGAGAGGGAATTACACCCCTTGGGGACTTGCCTTTTGTGACCTCAAAGTACCTTTTCAAGCCACATTCCTCACTGGAGTGTACCAGGGTGGCTCACGAAAGACAAGCTGAATGAAGGAAGAGCTTTCACTCTAATAAAGAGGTTGTATTTCCAAACTATTTTTCCCACCAGAAAGTTCTGTATACTTTTCCCAAGGGGGCGGAGGTCTGACTGGAAATGAATTGATGGCACTGTTTGTTTTTGCAGTACAGGAATTTAGAGTGTAATACCATATTTTACCCTTAAAGGGAGACACTCGACCCTGATTTAGCCGTATAATTACATGTCACATAATGGCAGCCTCAGGGCCTTACTGGGGAATGGTAGTCATCCTCTCCTGTGGGATGTCTTTGGAGATCCATGAAGCTTTTGGGGAGAAAGGAGGACAGAAAGAGACCAGGAGGATTGGATTGAATATTCAGGAAGCATGAAATAGTCCCACCATTAGAGCACGTTTCCCTCTCATTTTTTTTTTTCTTTCCCCAAAGGTAGCAAAGGTTGTGCACCATCACAGGATCAATAAGTTAATGAGAGGCTGAGCATAAACACGCAGTAGCAGACTGGAATGGAATCTCATTTGTGTGAGGGGAGCAGACATTGGAGTAGTTCACAATGACTATGCCAATCGTTTGTAGGTTTCCTAGCTGCTGAGATTAGCTAGTAAAGAAGCTAGGCTTTGTTTTGGTACTCATGGAGCCACTGAAATCTCTGGAGACCATTTCTTTTACTGTTTGTGAATATGAGATCCTAAACGCAGAGGAACCTCATTAACAGCAGGAAAGTGGTGTAGTGGAGGGTTTCCCTGCCCATGGCAGGGGGGTTGGAACTAGATGATCTCTGAGGTCCCTCCCAACCCAAACCATTCTGTGATTCTATAAAGATTGCCCACTGGAGTCTATCTGAAGGTCTGAGCTCAGAGTCACCTGGGGCCCGTGATAAGAACATTTGGTGGCCAGAGAGCTACACTTATACACTGAGGCACAGAAACCCTCAGGGGAAGGGTGCTGTTGAGTCATGGTACTGGTTGGGTTTTGAGCATCCAGCCCTGTGGGACCTGCAGGATCACTTGTGTGTTAATTGATGATGATCTATCTGCTTACTCCCAGGTTTTCGTTTCCGCCTCCTGGAAGGTGGCTGGCAAAATATAACGAACTCCTCTGAGAGAAAAGCCTCTAAAGATGAAGAGCACTGCAAGGGGCAAGGATATTCAATGGGTGGGACCTGAATGCAGGTCAGATGGTCCCCAGTGGAAGAAGATGCTGCAATGTCATAGGAGAAAAGGGAGACACACGTGCATGCGTGTATCTATGTATGAATACAGAAACAAAGCACCGAGGAGGAGAAAATAAGACATCTGGATAACTACACAGCCTAAAAGGAAAACAAACTACAGGAGAACTTTGCTGCCACTTATCTGAAATAAACCCACACGTTAAATCAAGAAAAAAGAATCATCATTCTTAAATCAGCTGGAAAGGGTATATAGGAAGGAGAGAAAGGGGTTGATACCCTGATATTCAGTGTGATTTCTTAGTCAAAACTTCCT